CCCCTTCAGTGCTGTGTTACCACACCAGCCTACCTCCCTGTTTATGGTGGTGGAAGAGGGCTCCTGGCTCTCCTGTTGCCTTGCTTAAGCTTGCGTGTCAGAAACAGTTGTGTGTATTTTCCCCAGCTGTAGTCCTGCAGGTGCCACTTAGCTTAAAAAAAAAAAGAGTCATTGGCTTTAAGTGCAGCCTGTCTTGTGTGTATCCAGGGCCAAAAAGCAGCTGACAGGCCCTGGGATGCGTAAGGCAAAGGTAAGTCTGAGGAGCTGGCTTGCCTGGTGGTGTAACAAGACAGAGACAGGACAGCATGGGTGTGTGTGTGTGTGTGTGTGTGTGTGTGTGTGTGTGCGCTCATCTTGCATGTCAGGTTCAAAGCAGATCCCCTCAGCAAGAGAAATGGATGGGGACCTCAGCTGTTCCTTAGTGCCCCCCCCCGCTCCCTGAAACCACTCCATGGCATTCAGATTAAAAGGGATGTTGTGGTGCCTTGAAAGGGGGAGGAGATTATGGGGGCTGTGGGGTACTGGCAGAGCAAAGGGAATATTATGTGTTTTCTTTCCTTTTTTAAATTGTTCATAAGTAGATTGGGAAATTCTCGAATGTATTAAAAATTATTTTTACAGTGAAGAAATTATGTGTGTTCTATTTTAGTGGTTTTATTATTGTGCAGGATGTTTACAATCAAGTAACAGTAAATATTAGGATTAGCAAGAGGGTGGTTAGGTATGAAAATCACATCATCTTGATGACTGATTGATGTAACTAACCCTGCAATGCAAACTGTAAACTCTAACTTTTCCAGTAAATTTGCTTTTAGTGAATATTCACATTAAGTATTGCTTTTTCTGAATGATAAGAATTTGAATGTGTGGTTTTTTTATTGGAGGGGATAAGGGGTGGGAATGAAGAACAGATGTTGCTATAACAAATCACATGAGTAGTTGGGTTTCCTCTCATGGAAAGCAACTCATTAAATCTACACTTAACATGGCAGAAGAGCTTTCTGCACCATGTTGGAAAGAGAGGTTAATCCAATAAATGTCCAAATTATTGTGACTCCCTGCACACATGGATGGTACAAGACTGGATGAGTAGTCATGGCAAGGCAGCCTTCAAATTTAGGCCTGCAGAGAAGATGATCCCTTTTGTCAGAGTCATATTCAGTCAGAGACATCTCCAAAGTTGGCACGGATCACTTTTTAGCTGCTGCCACTGCCTGTCCAGCCATAAGCAAATGAGGAGTCCAAACCCATACCCAGCTGGTTGACCACAGATGCAACCAGAAAGCAGATGCCTTGTAATAAAGGTGATGCTTATTACTGGCTCTCCAGATTATTTACTTCTGCTTGCTGCTTGACAGCCCTTCATAGGAGATTGATGGATTAAGCTTTCACCAGCTGTTCCTCATCCAGGCACCTAATTCTCTGAGATGTTAGCACCGGAGATGAACTGCTTCTCTAGGAATTTCCAAAATGTTCCATATTTTTAAATCTGTTTCAAGCTTGTGAGAAAAGTCAGACTTGTTTTCTTTATTTTTTTTTTCTTTCCCCTGCAAAGTAAGAAACTCATGAATTTCACTTAGTAGAGAGACCAAAATGGCATTTTGTCTGATTCTGTTCTGAAGCACTTCTGAGCCTCCTTGAACTACCTGGGGCTTTGGAGGGGAGGAGGAAACAGGAGTCTGGAGAAAGCTGCTGAAGATTTGCAAGGTCCTGGGGTATTGCAGCTCCAGAGCAGTCAGTCCAAACCCAGAAACTCATCATAGGCTGTTCAGGTGCTAGAAACTTTGGATCCGTAGCATCTGAAGCTCATCACTTCCAGGCTTTGAGCGCCCCATCACTCCAATACATAGGCTGGGAAGGATCCCAGCAGACAAGCATGGAGAAAACTCACCTTTTTCTCAGAAATTAGCCTGTTCCTTTTTTTCATAGTTTAGAGAGAAACCTATTCTCACAAAGCATTTCACCTTCAGCAAACCAGTGTCTCTTGGCAGAAAATAGAAATTTTGCTGGCAGCCCTTGCTGGAGTCAGCAAGAGAATAGGGTGGTCTGCAGACCACACCTGGGTGCTAGTAATATTCTGATATTGCCTTGGTGCTGGAAAAATCTTGCCTTCTCCTGCAGCAGCCTCCCACATGCTTTGAACAAGAAGATAGTGAGTTGTCATATAGAGAGATGGGTTTTGTAGTCAATATTTTGATTTTGTGGGGAAAAATAGTTTAAAGAATTTCAGTGCTACTCAACATGGTGGCGGCGACTCCTTGGTTTGTTTCATTTGACAAGATTTTGGCAGTAGGAATGGAGATATTTCCCTGTGTGACTTGCAGTATAAAAACTGCAGCCTTCAGCTGCCGTGCTGGGAAGCTGGGGCTTATCAGGCTTTGAGCCCCATCCAGCCTGTGTGGGATGCAAAGAAGTGAATGGTGGAAATGCTGGAAAACAAATGAGATTTGATGAGATTCCATTATCACTAGTTATTTTTCACCAGGTAGACAGAAATACCTGAACTGGAAAAGATATAGATTTTTGACCCTTTAAATTAAAAATAGCACAAAAATGTTTCTGCTTATGCTGGTCTTTGTAGCGGGGGGAGCCCTTGGCGAAGACTTCTAGAACACAGTTTCCTTTTCTGTTTCATTGATGTTGGGTATCATTAAGATTGATGGGTTTGAAAACATATTTCATTATCTCTTAGACACAGCTTGGCTGCTCTTACAGCTCTTTCCCTGTCGCCAAAACAAAACCTGTTGTTTTCAGAGGCTCTGAAACTAAAGTGCTCTCACTTAGAAGGACCACCTATCTGCATACGCCTGTGAAAAAGGTCTGCATGAGAGCAGCCTGATCTGGTGAGCGAGGAATGTAATTCTTTTTAGCTGAAGTAATCGGTAAGGTGCGGTTGTGTAACAGCAGGGTGCTGCTGTCATGACCTGCAAGCGTATGGGGGCATCTGCAGTGCTTGTACAGGGTGTCCTCCTGAAATGCTTGAACTGGGTGTCCTTCTCTTTCCAGGTCTGGTGTATCCTCTGGAGGTGTCAGTCAGTTCAAGGAGCATCCAGGTTGCCCGAGGCCAGACAGCAGTATTGCCCTGCACCTTCACCACTAACGCTGCTCTCACTAACCTTAATGTCATCTGGATGGTCATTCCTCTTTCTAACGCCAACCAGCCTCAACAGGTAGGTCCTCTTTTACTGGAGCAAATCTTTCTTTGGGGCTTTTCTTTTCATGCTGATCTGGATGTCGACCCTTTACAATTCTGAGGCTCTGGTTGTCCCAGAACTTCATTGTCCCTTTATTGCTGAGCGCATCCTCTAGATCTTACAGGAATTTGACTCTTTCAGTGCTTTGTTAACTGATGCACATTGTGTCCTTGGCTGCATTGGCTGGATGTGTGATTGGGGCAGCTGTATGTGATAATGCATTGCTGCCCTGGGCCTCTGGTGGTTGGTGTGTTCAAAAGAGGACAGGAGATGTAATCCAGGTTTTGGTGTGCTGGATATGGGATTTGGAGGACCTGGGAGCAGCTGCAGACTTAAACCTGTGAAATCTATGTAAAATGTGCCATCACACATGGTCTCTTGCAGACTCATCTCCCCTTTTACTTTTCTTCTTACTTTTTCACTGCCTGGTGCTTAGGCAAGCCCATTCTCATGAACATTAGCAAATGAGAGTCTATCACGGTAGGCACAAGAGCCATAACCTGAGATCTGCTGGCCTGGTTTTTGCCCACATACTCTTGACATCAGAGGAATGCCATTGCTCTGAAATGCTTCTGTCTTGGGTCACACTGTCCTCATCTCATTTGGTATTCAGTTGTGAAAACCTGCACTGAAGAATACGTGCTCCTCAGGGACTTGGTCTCAGTACAGACTGCTATATAAGCCATCTGACTGGTAGAGGCTGTGCAGTTTCATTGCCTGTCATTCAGTTTATCCCAGTGATCTTCAGTAAACAGTGTCAAATCATGGTGGGATCTTACTGGCTGAGGCTCAGAATGATACTGTCCACTGGGCGGATGCTTTCCAGCAAAGTGCTCACTGATCTGCAGAGAGTCTCTGCTTCTCTACATCAATCCTGTTCAGATGGGCAATGACTGTTGCATAAAGCAGGCTTGTATTGCAAATCCAGCTATGCCAGAAGACTCGGGTATCTAGCTGGTCTGTTACCTTTGTGAACAATTTTATTGACATAAAACAGGCTACAAAGTGTGTTCCTCTTTAAGAGAAAACACCTCTGCTGGGGTGGGTCTGCCTGGGACCTCTGTATATTGATGTCTGGTTATTTAGAAATACTTTAGGAACTGGTCCTTTCTGCTTTGGAAGCCCATGTTTTGCTTGCTGTTCTACCTCCTTGATCAGCTCCAGCAAAGTGTTGTTTGAGCCTTCCTTTCTTTTCCAGGTTATTCTCTACCAAGGGGGTCAGATCTTTGGTGGCGCACCCCAGTTCTATGGGCGAGTGGGGTTTGCTGTGACAATGCCAACCACCAGTGCCTCCATCTTCATCAACAACACTCAGCTATCGGATACTGGCACATACCAGTGTTTAGTCAACAATCTTCCCGACCGAGGTGTCAGGAATATTGGAGTCATTGGACTTACTGTCTTGGGTGTGTTTATCGGTATTACGGGGGGAGAGGGGAGGAACAGGGCCAAGGGGATCCTCTGTGCGTAACAGTGTATCACAGAAGAGCAATATGGTAGACTATGCATTGGAGCCCACAGGCATCCTGTGGTGAGGGATGGGATGCCTTGCGGGTACCATGGGAGTTTGCAGGGCACGTAGCCTTCATATGCAGGCAGCATATAATGGAGTTTTAAAATATGGTGGAGAGAAAGCTTTTGTGGCAGCATTGTGATGGGGAGTTGCAAAGAAGCATGAATAAAGTATGAGGACATCCCAGAGAGCTGACGGGACTGTAAGAGTTTTATGCATAGCAACAGGAGAATGACTTTAGATCTTTGCTTCCTTTTCATGAAAGAAATTAGTACTGGATGCTCCCTGGGATATTAAATACTCCAGAGTGTGTGCCATTATAGGGATATGAAAGCAAAACCCAACCACAGCAAATTCTGTCTGCAGCTCTGCTAGTTCTCACCACCGTTGCTGTCTCAAAGAAAGAAATGTTCACCTTCTTTTTAGGGAGGGATTTAAGACATGTGGGTCCTGTGAAAATCAGCAGTAGTCTGTAACCTTGCTGGGCTGGTGGGTCAGGAATATTGGTGAATTATCACCCGCCCCAAAACTTAATGGGTTCTTGTCTGCTACCTCCCTCTTGTCCCCTTGTCAGCTCATGCCAACATCCTTGCTTTCCTCAGCAGCGCGTGTCCAGAAAGAGCCTGCACTCCACTGTTTGGTCATATTTCCTGTTTTACTGTCACCTTCCCCTCTTCTCTTGCAGTTCCTCCTTCTGCCCCGCTTTGCAGAATCCAGGGGTCCCTGGACGTGGGCAGTGATATCACACTGACCTGCAGCTCAGAAGAAGGCATCCCCCGGCCAACATACCTCTGGGAGAAACTGGACAATGTTCCCAAGTTGCCTCCAACTGCCACACAAGGTGCTCGTTCTGTAGATTATCCTCTTATTTCCCAGGTGGCAGCCTGGACTTTCCTTTGTCTAAGCCACCAGAGATGGCATGGCTCATTAAGTGTCTGCCATCACTTGCATGGTGACTTTATTGGAACGAAGATTCCTAGAGGTGGACTAGGTACCCTCCAGTGGCCACTTAAATTTTCATGTTTTGTTGGTATAGAAACATGTTGCACATTGAGGAACAAGAGTCTGGTTGAATGGGAGAGAGAGAGAATGTGGTTGCCAGATGTTGGCATGTGGCTGGAGATTTCACCTGCATTTTGAATGAAAGGCTCATAGATTGGAAACTGGGAGAAGGGAGGCAGAATCATCACAGGAAAATACTGCCAGCTTTTCACACTGAGATCACTGCTCTTCAGTAAGTTACTGGCAGTGCTGCCTTCCAAATGTGTGTAAATGCAAGGCTCTGATCAGACTGGGTATTGCCTAGCCCCAAGTCCCATCCATAAGATTTCTTAGCCTAGGTGTCCTGGTCAGTGAATGATTTTAGCTCTGTATCTTTCTGTATTTTAAGAATATGCAAAATAGTTTTATAGAATTCAGGAATGAAGCAGAGCAAGAGGTGGGGAGCCCAGGAATGGGAGAGCAGGGGTTCTGCAGGGCAGGATTGAATTTAGCAGGTAGATCTGGTATAGGTAATTGCACATCTCTTCTTTCCTCCATTTTCTCACACAATGCTGAGAGTCCCAAGCTTTCATTCGCAGAAATTCATCTATAAGAAGAAAAAGAAACATCTAGTGTAAGCTCCTTAAGACCTAATCTTGTCTGTGTGTGTGTCTGTGTGTGTGTGTGCACGCACAATGCTTCCATCTCAAGGTTATTTCCTAATTTATTTCTCTCTTAAGAGTCTCACACCAAAATTCTCTGTTTGCTGGCTTTGCCTTTTCACGGTTTTCCTCAAGGGGGGGGAGGGATTTAAATCCTTCTTTTCTCTCTGACTAGACCAAGTCCAGGGCACTGTCACTCTTCGAAATATCAGCACTGTGTCCTCAGGTCTTTACCAATGTGTGGCTTCAAATGCCATTGGAACCAGCACTTGCCTTCTGGACCTGCAAGTCATTGCACGTAAGTATTTTGCCAAGGGAGGCTTGGCCACCTGCTTCTGTCTTGTGACAGCAAAGTGTGTAACCATGTTTGCTGTGAGCCACCATGTGCCTCTCTGTCAGAAGACCGTTGTGCCCTGGAATGGGGGTGTTGCCTTTCTCCCCTCCCAAGCCATGGTAGCTTCAAATGATCATGGACAGCCACAGTCCAGCCCTGATTTCTTTTCTGTTCTCTGTTCAATCACCCCCACAGCCCACCCGCGGAGTATTGGCCTGATTGCAGGAGCAGTGGCCACAGGTGCTGTTGTGCTTGTTGTTTGCATTGTGTTGGTGGCCGTGGCACTGTTTTACTGGAAAAATAAACACAAAGAAGAAGAAGAGGAGGAGATTCCCAATGAGATAAGGTAAGGGTCAGGGAAAGCTGATGGCAGGGGACCTCTGATCACCCATCAAAAGCAGGGGCTGGCACAAAGGCAATCGGAAATCTCACTCTTGCTAATCCTGAGTGTGTTCCCCTGGGCCAGTGGAAGATGTCCATATATGACCAAAAAATAGAGGGAGCAAACGAAGAATGGTAATGACAGATTTTGTTTTCAGTATTGCCTTTATTGAGAGCTTTGACTCGACGTTGTTAGTTCCATAGGAGAGTGATGTGGTGGGGATCGTGGCCCACAGTACCAGACAGTGATAGCTGAAAAGCTCTTGGAGAGAAAAACTGTGATCTTCTCTGGTGTTACAGCCACACTGCTTCCCTCTGGTAGCTTCCTGCAGCTGCCCTGAGGAAGGTTGTACAGTCATACTGACTGCCTGTGAGCTACCCGTGGCTGTGACAGCCACTGGTTTTGTCATCCTAGACACATGAGCGTGGGTCATTTTCCTTAGAGGCTGGCACACAGAGCAATTAATATGCACAGAGGTGGGTCCTGCAAAGGTGGGTCCTGCAAGGAGCAGTATTGGTTCACGTTGGTGCTGTCCTTCACCTTGAATTGGTGGTGTTGACCCAAGCAGGGTGTGGCAGGGGGTTGTTGGGCAAGTGGGGCAGCATCTTAGGTGTGCCCTCACATCCTCTCCTTCCCAGGGAGGATGACCTGCCGCCCAAATGCTCCTCCGCAGCAAAGACATTCCACGCCGATGCGTCCTCATCGGAGAACGACACCCTCACCTCCTCCAACACCTACAACAGCCGCTACTGGAACGACCCCAAAGCCAACCACGCCACAGACTCCTTCACCCGCTTCAGCAACAGCAACGACGCCCACCAGCCCCCCTTCTCCCGCTCGGGGAGCACAAGCACCCGCCCCGTCTATGCCAACGGTGGCCACCCATCGCCAGCTCCCCCTAAGACGCTGGTGGTGACGGCCAGCACGGCGCCGTCCCCTCAGGAGGTGATCCGGAGCAATGGCTCGGTCAGCAGGAAGCCGCGGCTGCCGCACACTCGCTCCTACGCCATCAGCCAGGCCACACTGGAGCGGATCGGGGCTGTCCCCGTCATGGTGCCCGCCCAGAGCAGGGCCGGCTCCCTTGTGTAGGGCCATGCTGGGGGCCAAGAGCCGAGCACGGGGCCTCTTGTACCTGGTGGGGCAAAGAGACCCTATACTCCTTCCTGAAAGGCTGCAAGGTGGCGGGGAGGACATACACTCGCCTCTCCCCCCTGCCCTCACCTCCTGAGGCCGCTGCTGGCTGGTGGGACGGCCCCGCCATGCTGCATCCCCCGGAGCTGTCGGGGCTCCTCACACCGTTGGACACTGCGGATGTGCCAAGGCTGGGGGACGTTGGGATGTGCTGCCCAGCTGCAGGGCCCCAGCCGGGACGTGCGCCTGGCCTTGACCTCGGGAGGACTTTTCTTTAGTTTCCTGTTGGTTTTGTTGGGGGTCGATTCCATCCATTTGGGTCTTTCAGGGAGGTTTGGGGAGATATATATATATATTTTTTTTTTCTGTTGTTGCTGGTTTATTTCCAAGAGGACGACAGCCTGCGTTGGGGCAGGGAGGGCTGAGCAGGGAGGGGTGCTGAGGCAGTGTGTGCCTCAACACGGGTGGCCCCAGCCCTCTCCCCGTGGCCCTGGCCCCACTGTGGGATGAAGGAGGGCAGTGCAGCAGGGCCGGGTGTGAGGAGGAACGGGCCAGGCTGGAGGGGAGAGACAGGCACAGCCATCAGCCTGGCCAAGGGGATGGCTATGTGAGGGCACGGACTGGGGAACGTTTGTCTTTATTTTTTTGCAGTTCTTCCCCCACCCCAACACGCACACAAACACACACACACACAGACGCACACAGGTTCTCCTCAGACTAGGTGTTTTTCCTGCTTTAGCCCAGAGTGCTGCCAGAGCCCTGTTCATGGCTGTAGAGGATGGAGCCGTCTCAGCCTCTTTCCCCAGTACACTCCATGCAGGGTGCTGCTGTAGGGCTCGTGGCTTTCTTTTTTTGGGTGTTGCTGGGTTTATTCAGGAGGTAGAGAGGATCAGGATGGCGTGGCAGAGCAGCAGGCAGGTCCAGAGATATCTGCTGCCCCTGGGCTGTTCTGGTTCAGGGCAAGTGGCTTCAAACCCCACAGCTTTGGTGTTTGCATGCTGGGTTTTCCTTATCAGGCTATCCAGGGCTGACCAGAATGGCAGGGCATGTGTTGTGCTTGGGGACCTTACAGGGAGGCATCACGGTTTTCATTAGCACTCTCCCACATGCACAGACTTCCCAGATACCAAGAGGATTCGTTTCCAAATCCCTTTCCTTAGAAAGAGTGAAAGCAGGGGCTTAATGGAGAGGGTAACCCTGTGGAAGCCCACGTGCTATCTCTCTGCCTTCCCTACTTCCCTCCACATCCCAGGGCCAGGTACTGGTGGCATCTGCCAGTGACTCTGCCATCTCCTTGCAGCCAGGGAGGTGGTTGTGGCTGGCACCTATCCTTTTTCTATTGCAACTAAATAGCCTTAATCAAAGCCAAGAGTTGAAACTGCTGAAGGAACCTGGTGCCATTTGGAGGGCTGGACTGAGGGCTGGGACTTACCCTCCTCGAGAGCACTGGCTCAAAGGGGCCACGCCTGGATAAGTATCTTGGCTCTCCTGCATAACACCAACCCCTGCAGATGTAAAGGTAGTGGTCATCTCCAAAAGCACCAAAGCCCTCCCAGGTCTGCTTTTGGAAAAGCAATGTGGGGAGTCACAGGTGACTTTCCGTACCTCTCACATTGGAAAAAGAGTCTGTTTAAGCCAACAGACTCTTCCTCATCCCCACTTTCCTTGTCCCGACACGGCTTTACTTTCCCTAGCAGTGCACAAACCTTGGGCAGGACCTTCTGCCTAAGCGGTACCTTTCAAATGCAAGCACAGACTCTGAGGAAGAGAGGGGAGAGGTGAGGGCTGGGTTCCCACATGGGCACACTGGCTTTTTGGGAGGTTGGGGGCTCCCAGGCAGCACTAGATTTGAAGCTTGGCTGAGATTTTGTGCCTTCTTTGCTTAAATAGAAAAAAGAAGAAAAAGGAGAAAAAAAAAAATCCAACCTCCCTTCCTTCCCCCTCTACACAACTTCATCCAGAATGGGTGCAAAACCCCACGGCGGTGCAGGCAGGTGGTTGCTCTGTGTATGTACATGCACATTTCACTGGAACAGTCTTCTTTCCCGCCTGTCTGCTCGCTTTGCTGCTGGGTGGTAGGATTGACTGGCTTTAGAAACCCTAATGTGGGAGGAAAAAGAAAAAAAAACAATCAAAGGGAAGCCCAGGCACGTTCTCTCTTTTGTAATAACCCCTGTGTGACATTTACAGGAACACTGCCCTCAGCAGGCCCTCTCCTCTACTGGGAAAGCTCTTCTGGTTCCTACCCTCCATGAGACTGTTTGCTCCTCTTTCTTTGTTCTTTCTAATTGTCTAAAATTCAATAAAACTTTATTCATATAAAAAAAAGGACTTCTTATTGCCTGCTGCTGCTTTTTTTCTCCCCACTACCTAATTCTGTAACTACAATGCATTTGGCTGTTAATACTCATCGTTGATATGACTGGCAGTAAGTAGTGACCATGCAACTAAGACCTGCATGTTATTAGGCCAGGCAGTTTTGTAGTGAATCCTGGTACTACAGCCTTGTTTTTCTCATTCATAATAGTCTGACACATTGCCCTTGAAGGTACAGTCTCCCAGGCTTGCAAAGTCTCTACTTCTCAAGACAAAGGTGAGGGGTTTTTCTGTCATTTGGCAGGGGAGATCCTTTGCTGCTTTGAGTGATGTGGGAAAATATTTTAAAAAATTGACTACCCTTGCTCATATGTTGGTTTTCAATCTGAAACATGGCGCGTTCATCCCAGATTCAAAACCTAAAGCAGTGACCAGGATGGTCCTCAGTGACTTTGCTGGCCTTTTGAATAAGTTTGATGGGGGAAACCGTCAAGAAGTTAACAAAAGTACTGATCCCCATAGACAGAGCATGGGAAATTTCAGTGTCTGAGCATTCACACTTCCAGGGCATAAGGGGGATGGGGAGCACACACTTCTTAGTCTGTATCAACAGCTTCTAGCAGAAAGTTATTATTAGATAGGGCAATCTGACATTTTGCCAAAGATTTTGCATTTTTCTCTCCGTGTTTCATTTTCCCTGCTCCTTGTCTAAAATCCCCCAGATATTCTGAGAATGATTATTAAAACCAGAAACCTACGGATCCAACAGCAGTGGTAATTCAGCCCTGCTGCACATGCATCGTGTTCTTGTTGCTTGATATTTTTCAACACCTAGTTTAAAATACTTCTGTAAATGTGTTTTCAGCTATAGGCCTTACGGTAAATGAGATGACTGCATTCCCATTTTCAGAAGATTGTTACAGGAATCTTAATGTTTGCATTTTTCATCTTTTGATTGTGCAACCTTGCTGTGACATTAATAGCATCTTTGCATTTTGTTCCCATGATAGCCCTGTCAGTATTCTGCTATACTATCCATTCCTTGCCACTGGCTTGCCTCTTAAGTCATTCTTCTGTATATCTCTGTCTATTGATCTGGAGTAGAATTTTCTAAGATACAGGATAGTTTACTAGGTTTGTGCAGCACCTAGTATGCTGGAGTCTTAGCCTATAAATTGTGTCTAGTGAGGCGTTGCTGCAATACAAATATCTACCAAAAATAATACCAGTTAGATGACTTGAGAGTGCTCCAGAGTGTCTATCACTGAAAAGCAAACAAAGGTTCAAGCTGTTATAATTGTAAGTGGAAGTCACTACTGCAATGCTTGAGTTTGCTGACAGCCTTCAACACCAGCTGTATAGTAGGGGTTGCCCACCACAGTGGGCACCACGGATGTTACTTTAAATGTCAGTACCTATTGGTTGTATCATTTTCCACCAAAGAATATCAAAAGGAATCTTGTTCTAGCACAAGGATTAACTGTTCATTTGAGTGCTGAGACATAAAAATAACCATGAGAGGATAATTCACACTTTAGAAGTGGACATCTTTTTAGAGATTGGTATAGACAAGAGCTCAATTTAAAACATTTGGAAAATCTGGTCTATAAACTGCCAGAAGTTTTTTTTAACTTACACAGCTTTTGCACTTGAATCTGCTGATTCATTTGAACTAAAAAAAAAAAATAAATTTCCCAGATGCATGCACTTCAACAAACTTGCCAGAACACAGATGAGTTTCCAGCGGAAGCCAGTCTACCAGATGGTGTCCTGTCCAAGACTGTCTGGCTTCCCCATGAGGACCTGGGATGCTCAGGAGAGCAATCCTACTTACATCATGGTTTAGATCTTCATGAAGCGTACCTCAAATCACGGCAGCCTCAGATGACATCCAGAACTGAGGGAACTGGGTAATTGGTTTGGTACTGGGCAGAGGAAATCAAATTGAAATTTTTTTAATTCCCCCTGAAAGGAAGGATATTGAGGGAATTTTCATGATAAATTTCTGGTTTCATCAAACACATTGTTAAGTTTTTGCAGTTTACTGGATTTTGCATCCCAGCTTCATCTACTTTCAGGCACAGAAGTGACCTTCTGTGTCTGCACTCTAACCAGGATCTTCCCAGCTGTGATGCTGCAGGTTTGTGAGCAAGTGGATGAATCTGTGTGTGTGTGTGCCAACACCAAGCGCACCCAAAATGGTTCAGCAGATTCTCTTAAGAGGGGCTTGAACATTTCTATGAGAGAGGGCAGGGAAAACTGAGGAAGCAGATTACATCTATTCAGAGCAAACTCAGCAGGCCCTCCTATATTAACTCACATGGCCTCTGTTAAAGGGAGGCTGGGAGCAGAGCTGTTGTGAGGTATCTTGATGACTGCGTTCCCCTTCTCTCTGCGCTTTTTCCAAGTGCCACTAGCCATCCTGCCTGCAGCTTGTTCTCCTGATGCCAGCAGAACAGGGGTTACCGCACCATGCTCTTGTTACAGCGCTGCTCTTGCGAGTAAGGCAAAATGTGCTGATGAAGAGCAGGAATATGCGTGCTGAGAAAGGGAATTCAGTGTCACTGAGCTATGTCTCTCCTCAGGTGGGGAGAAGCTGAACATCAGGGACAAAGCAAGCCTCGGAAGCAGGAAGAGTGAAAGACTATGGGTCTTTTTTTCAGTCTGCTTTCCTCCATGTCTGCCTCTTGCAAGTGCCGGGAGGGTGTTCCTGAGAATTACCAAGTCTGTGACCTTCTAAGCAAGGGAGGGCACATGCAAGGCATTTCCTGAGCCTGGCACTAGCCCAGAGCTCTTGTTGCCAGCTGGTGGGCTGCACAGAGAAAGGTTTCAATAGGTCACTTACACAGCCATGGCGGGGGAGTGGGTGAAAATATGTGCAAGAGCTTTGGGCATGGATTGGTGAATAAAGTTTTTTGGGGAGGAGAAACTTGGTAACCTTGAGACTTCCTGACTCCAGGGCTCTGGCATATTTCCTTTGATGAGTTTCCATAGACAGCAACAGCTGAAAAAAACCCACTTTCCCTTTCCCTCTGGTAGAGGCTCCATTGCTTTAGAGAGCACTGCTGTTGTGTAGGAACGGGACAGTGCACATGGCTAAAGATCAGACTCTTCCCCAACCCTTCTAATGACATCGTCTGCTGGTTATTTGTTCCTGATTTCCTCTCTCCCTGTGCTTCCTCTGTAACACATTTGAATAAGAAATTGGGTTGACAGGAAATTTAATCTATCCATGTAAAAAAACCCCAACCAAACAAAACCAAACTTGCAAAACAAATAGCAGCAAAGAAAAGAGGAGATTAAGATGCATGGCTGGTTGGCAAATGATTCTTTAGCACTGGATGTAGCCTGGGTCAGCTCCTGGATTTGGATTTACTAAATCATAGTTGGGAGGGATAATGACTTGCTTCCATTTGATACGCTTTAATGGGAAAACTGGTGTAGTGCATGTGCACAAAGAAACATCGGTGAAGGGACCTGATACAGTAAAGACCAGAGACTCTGTAGTTTATCTTGCTTATATCTAAACCCAGTGTGTTTGGTACAGCTACACAACCTGCCTTCCAGCCTCCTGGATAGTATCAATAACTATAATAAATAATAATACTATCAATATTTTTCTTGAAGGATCTCAAGTCACTTTGGCAAGCTGAGTAGAGCAGTCACCAGGTCATTGTCCACGTGGACACCTGAGGTGGGGAAAAGGTGTGTGATTTGAGTTGCAGCAGCAGTGCTTTAAGCTGAGGCAGTTTCTAAGGTGCTCTGCGTCACTGGTACAGCATTTCCACTTGTGACCCTCTCCTGTCTTCTTAGACTGAAGCTTGTGGAAAAGGCCCCTGTGTCACACATGAAGGAAGGAAGGCAGCAGAGGCTAGAATTAGCTCAGTAGAAAAGTCAGGGTGGCTGTAGACTCTCAAAGTTAAGACATATCATTAGAGATAGAAACAATTAACAGAAATGTGCCATGAACATCATTAGTCCTGCTTCCTTTTGTCTGTGGCTGGCTTCTGGGACAAATGGGCACAAAATCAAAGACAACCTTTTTGTGACACAACCCAGAGAAATGGGTGAACATCACATAGACCACCCAACAGCTCTTTCCTGGGTGCACTTGCTCAATGGGTGCAGAATGCAGTCTGTTCCTGCTACTTGTGAACACAATCTCCACGTTCACAGTTTTCTTTGCTCGTCTTTCTTGTGTGGGAATGCATTCTTCACGCACCTATCCATGCTCAGGGACACTAAAAGAGGTTGAAAGCAGGCACAGCTGTAAAGTGTGTGAACACCCCATGCCTTTGCTCAGTCCAGTCACCTAGAACATGCGTCCTATTTGTTTTCCAGGCTAACCTGTTGCACATCTCTCAAATCACGATGGGTTTTGCCGCTCCTCTTGCCATTCCACAAGTTGCACGCTGGCCGAGGGAAAGTTGATTATTTCTGGGAAAGTAAAAGGGGAGGTCTGGGGCTATTGCCCAAAGAGTGGCTGAACACTGGGCATTTATTTCACTCTCCAGATTTGGGTCACAAAACTGGCCTTTTTTGGTGGCTCTACGATGACATCCTCTGGAAGGATGAAGAATTACATCAGCTCCAGTTGACCACTTGTTCAGCTTGTCTGCACTAGTCTTCACCTCCTTACTAGCTCCTAGGCTGGTCCTGCAAAGAATAAAGTGCTTTGTGCCTTGAGTACAAGCACCTCTTCCTTTTTTCCTCCTATGTTACTTCGGATCTGCCCTCAGTACTATGATGTCTGCTATGCTGTGGTGGGGACGCTTGAATGTTTTGTCTGTGTCCCAGAAGCAAATGGTTTTCACCATGGCCTGCCTTTAGCTTCCCAGATTCTCCTCTTGTTATGATGGTCTGAGATTCAAAAGCATGAGGAATGGGCTGGTACGCATGCAGTGCTAGGGAACAGATGGAACACAAATAGTTAGTCTAAAGAGATTCTGCTTCCTTACTTAACTATATCCACCAGTGCAACTGAGTCCTTATGGGCTCACAAC